AAGCCAAATAAGTTCAGAAGTAGTTGTTTCCATTGCTCTATATTCAGCTTCTGCAGAAGACCTGGAAATTGTTGGCTGTTTCTTGGTTTTCCAGGAAATAAGAGAATTTCCAAGAAAAATGCAAAAACCAGTAATAGACTTTCTCGTTTCCTTACATGTCGCCCAATCAGAATCACAAAACCCTTTCAATTGTAAAGGTGATTCTTTGGAGAAAACTAAACCTTGTCCAGGTGATCCTTTTAAGTATTTAATAAGATGACAAGCTGCTTCATAATGAGGAACACACAGATTTGACATGAATTGAGACAAACATTGAACAGCAAAAGAAATGTCTAGACGTGTGATGTTCAAATATAACAATCTGCTAATGAGACGTCTATATTTAGAAGGATCAGAATACACTTCACCAACATTCTTTTGAAGATGAATATTGGGATCCATAGGAGTAGTTTTGGGTTTTGCAGCTAATAAACCAGCATCTTCAATGAGTTGAAGAGTATAATTTCGCTGAGAGACAAAAATATCCTTCTTGGATTTGGCAATTTCTAATCCCAAAAAATATCCCAAGAAACCCAAATCTTTCAATTTAAATTGGTTACTCAGTTGTTGCTTCAAGAATTGTATTCCTTGTGTATTTGGACCAGTGATGATTATATCATCAACATACACAAGTAATGCAACATAATTGTCTCCAATGCCCTTATGAAACAATGAATAATCGGATTTGGATCGAGTAAAACCCAAAATCAGCATAAATTGAGAAAATTTGTTGAACCATTGTCTTGAAGCTTGTTTAAGTCCATAAATGGACTTATTTAACTTGCACACCATTTTTGAACCTTTGTGTTCCCCCTGAATCTGAAATCCTGGAAGAATATCCATAAAAACTTCTTCGTGTAATTCGCCAATTAAGAATGCATTATTTACGTCCAATTGAACCATTTCCCAATGACGAATTGTTGAAATGGCTAAAAGCATTTAAACTGTAACAAGCTTAGCTACTGGAGAATATGTCTCAAAGAAATCAACTCCTTCCTATCCTCCATTTCTTATCTCTCCGCCCGCTCCTTCTTCCTTGCTTCTTCTTTTTCTTTGTCGAACGCCAAACGTTCAGAGAAACTAAGATTATTCGATCACACGACGCTGTTATTTTCTGCATTTCGTCAAAGTCCATGCTGAAATCCGATGCACCCGAAGAAGTCCATTTTCCCTTCCTCTTTGCTTTGTCCCTACCCATCGGTCGGACAATTTCTTCTAGCTCGAGTTCGTCCTCCTGATTTAAATCTAGACCGACCCGAGCATCGGAGGAAGTTGTGTAACCACTAGAGCCCGTTTTCGTTCGCTTTGATTGTTGTACTCCAAAAATAAAATCTTGCTCGTATTTTTTCCACCTAGGACATCTAACCAATAATTTCCAACAATCGTGTCATTTGAATGGTTTTCTGACTTCCTCAGGGTAAAATTGCAAAGCTTCTTGAAGTATTTCTTCGTCGCCTTGACCGCTTTTTCGTTGGGTTTTTAGGTTGTTGTACAACCCGTTTATTTTTGAAACCCCCTTTGGTATTTCTTGAAACTTCAAATTTAGTTGGTGTTTCGTACGGTAGGCGTCTTCTTTTTCTAGCTCCTCCCGAAACCGTTCTAAAATGCGAAACTTAAAATGCTCTCCCGGTTGTGCATTTCCCTTCTTCGAATCCTCAGAAATGTCAACCCAAACTTTTACCAAAACTAGCTCTTCTTGTGGAAGTCATGTTGTCGGCTTTTGTCTTTCCGGTTGTGCGACACCCTTGTGCGCTTGTTGTTTTCCTTTACGTTGTTGTGGGGGTGGTGTGGGTTGAGTTTCGGGAACCATCTCTTCTTCTTCCGAGTCATCCAACTCATCGACAAGTTGGAATTGTTGTTGGGTTTGGGTTTGAGTTTGGGTTTGGATTTGAGGTTGATTTGGCAAATGTTGATCGGGAAAAACAACAAAGTTTGAAAACAATTGCGGAATAACATTTGGAACTTGGACCGGGTAATATTGTCTATCATTTTGGTATTGAAATTGTAGTGGAGATTGAATAAGAGCATCGAGTTGAGGACGATAAACACCTTGTGATGATGAATCGATAGCAAAAATGTTTCGAGTAGGGTGCTTAAACTCGAAACATAAGTTTTTTTTCTTTCTATCGGAGGTTGGAGTTTGATTGTCATGATTCATTTATTATTTTTGTTTTTGAAGAAAATAGAGGTTGTAGAGGGTTTGTTTGAATGTTGAGTGAAGGTAAACAGTTATGAGTATTTATAGATGTTTTAAAGGGTAAAAAAAACAAAAACAAAAACAAAAAAAATTAAATTTTAATGCATATAGCCGTTGGTAAAAAAACATGTTTTACCGTTAAAAAACGGATACTTCAAAAAAAAAAAAAAAAAAAAAAACTTTTCCACAAATCAACGAAGGAGAGAGAACGTGGCAAAAGGTTCCCTCACCCGTTCCCGCACCACCATTCCCCGCACCGACGGTGCGGTGTTCCGCCGTACGGGAAGAGTCATGCGTCTTCCCCCGCATACGATACCGCCGGACCTAATTAACATAAGCAAACATACTTCTAAAAAAATCAACAACATATTTTACAAACGCCACAACTCAAGGATTCTTTTCTAGTTCTAATTAAAAAACAATCTTTTTGCATTAAGACTTTTTGTATGAATTAAAAAAAAAAAGAAAAAAAAAAACCTACCCCGTCTTCTTCAACAGACATGAAAAAAGACAAGACATTTGACCACTTCCAAATCAAACACCACAACACCTTAATCTCTGATTTCTGGTGGAGTTACTCACGTTTACTTATACTTAATCTCGGATTTCTAATGGAGCTGCTCATAATGATGATATGTGTTTGATTTGGAAATCACAAGGACATGTAGTGTTAGTGTAATGTAGTGTATAAAGTAGTCTTGTTGAATGTTATTTCAAAATTGCTACCTTTTAGAAATCATAAACATTGTTTATGAAAATTTGTCTTACATTTACATACAAAAAGCTTCCATCACAATTATACACACTTTGAATTAAAATAAGAAAATTAATTTCTTAAGGATGCAAAAGAGAATGGATCAAGAAAACATTTTGTCTATTAAACTTAAAAATCGACCTAAAAATAGCTTGACTCAAGTTTAGGCAAAACAAGCTAAGCTTAAATTTTTTTCAAACTAAGAACCAGAAGTTAATTTTTTTTTGTAGTATCTGACAAAAAATAGTTGTAAGTTTTTAAAGTATATAAAATTAATAAAAACATTAAAACAAAAACTATCAAAACTAATTGAAGGCATCCACAAAGGACTGGATGTAATCTAGAATTGATAACCTTCAACCAATTCTGGAAAGTAGAAGCCATGACTTCATCATCCAAAGAATTCATGAATATCTCTGTTCCTAATGCTTGTATGGAAGCATAAATAGGTCAGTCATCTTTCATCTGTAATCACTTTGATTCCATTTGAGCTCAATAAGAACAATCTTACATTCTAAAATGTTAAAATTATTCGAACATTCGACCTCAATCATAACCAGGAACAACAGAGTACACTATAATTGCTTCAAATCAAATTAACCACTTACTAGATTAAGTAAATCAAGTATGGATAAGTGCATTAAACAGATCAAATTCATAAAACCCATAAGAGTAATCACCCAAAAATCCTTATCATTATAGAAAAAAGAAAAACAAAATTTGAAGAAGCATTTAATAAGATAATTAAAATGTTGCAAACCCTAATCGATCTCTTGAAGAGAAGCACCGGCAGCAACGTCATCGACTGTGAACTTTCCCTTCGACTTATCGGCGGCGCGCCCCTTGGCTTTCCGGTCAAGTAGCGACTTCCGATCCTTATCAAGCTTCAACTTGGTGACGACGACCTTTGAAGGATTGATTCCTACGTTCACTGTTTGCCCGTTAACTTTCTCACGGGTGATCCTCTCGATATGGATAACCCACTTCCGCCGGTAGACCTGAACCACCTTACCTTCACGGCCTTTGTAAGTTCCACGCACCACCTGCACCTCGTCGTCTTTCCTAACGGGAACTGACCGGACGTTGTGCTTGGTTCGTAGTTCGGTGGAGAGCGGCGCACTCATCAGCACGCGGCGGACGCTGGATGGAGCGGAGAAGTGCGCCTTCCGGCACTTGCGGCGGGAGCTGGTGACTCGTGGGTTGTACTTCATTTTGAGCGTCTAGGGTTCTTGGCCGACGAAACAGATTGAAACGAATAGTTATAACTTATAAAAGAAGAGAGGGAACTAGGGTTTCATGTTAAATTACGAAAATAACCTTGATCTTTAGTCTTTTTACAAAAACACTATTGCTAAATTGTATTTGGTTTTTGGGCCCCTTGGTTTTTCGTATTTTTTTTTGTATTTTTTTAGATAAGAGCAATATGTTATTTAATAACTCATTAAAGATATATCAAATTGATTATAACAAATATTCTATTTTTTTAACATGTTTCTCAATTATCTCTACAAATACATCGTATGACTAGGGTTGTTCACATAAAACCGAATTGTTCAATTGGACAATTTGGATTGGACTATTTGGTTCGGATTTTTGAATTTTTAGATGAGTTTCCAGTAAAACCGAACTATTATTTTAGATTTCGGATTGGTTACGGTTTATAAAATTAAAAACGAATAGTCCAAAAAAACCGAATAAGAGTTGATTATTTGTTTATTTATATATATTTGTTCCAAATATACATCTTTTAGTTATTTATTAATTTTCTAAATTGTATTTTTAAATAGATTAGAAAGTATTATCCAATAAAATACTTCAATGTATACTTTTCAATAGCTTTTTATCTATAAAATATTAAATTATAATAATTTTTTTAATAGTTGTTCATAATTTTAATTCCTACCAAACAATTTATATATATATACTAATTTACAACTACATGTGATGGGTTAATTTTTTTTGTTTTCTCTTTATCAGTCGGTGGTTCTTTTTACCGAGTGCTATTGATACGTGTTGTTCCACCGTTTTCTTAACCAATTCTTTCCATCCACATTTGCTACCTCCACCGATCGATATCTTCTCGATTCTACTCATTTTAGTGTTTTCCTTTCATCTGATTTTTTCTGCCCGCTTTTCTTTTGGAACATTGAGTCATCGATGATTCTGTTTCCACTCCGTTCTCGCACATACTTCCCTCCTCCGACGTCGTTTTCATCTCCGGTCTCGCACACCTTCTGAAGGTGGTTTTGATTGGCTCCATGGATTTCATTCGATCTTTGATTTCCTCTTTGTTCTTGCGTCTATTGCACAGAACGAAGAGGGACACGGTAAGTTCCGACGATGACGATGTACCCTACCTCTGCAATTGATTCAACGTAATATTACCTCCTTCACCGTCCTTTGTTGATTTCAATTATGGGATTAATCGATTCAATTATCGATGTCTGTTGTTGTTTAAAGATCGTTTCAATTTTGTTATTCAGTTGATGATATTATTGGAGGAGAAGGGCGGCAGGACGCAAGGCGTCGGTGAAGACCAACACTAACAATCTGATACCCACACATATTTAGTTGTTGAACAACTTCTTCCTTTTTCCTCCTTCCACACAGTACATGACCAAGGTACTTCTCCGTCCACTGTCAATCTTCTACCCCTCCTTGAAGTTAGTCCCTCCACCGCCAATACAGAGATTGTGACGCCGGCGAGTCCACGTCCACCACAGAAGCAGGAGTCGATGACACAGCATCTGCCTCAACCTCCACCAGTTCGATTGAATCTTCCGTCGATGTCTTTGTTGATTCTTCTATGGTCTTCATGCCCTAATAGTTTTATGTCGAATTGGCAGTGCGGCTACTCGAATTTGCATCTTCCGGTTCGTTTTTATGCTCTTTAAATTCCATATCAATGCATCTAGAAGAAAGTGTTGCTATGTGATAATTACTTTCTTTTATCAATTATCATCACGAATTACCTATTACAGTATTAATTTCTAAGCGTTGGGATTTTGCATCCGTTGCTCGAACATTAGGGCATCTATCAAAAAGTGCTTTAAGTCATGAAGATTGTTAACGACCTAATGAAATCTCCACAAATGGCTGTCACAATGCAAGAATTCAACAAAGAAATGATCAAAGCATGAGTGATTGAAGAAATGGTGAATGATGCTGTTGATTTTGCATTGGATACAGATGACATGGAAGATGAGATTGAAGAAGAGGTTGATAAGGTGTTAACCTCCATAGCTGGTGAGATCGCTGCTCAGCTTCCAGAAGCCGCCAGGAAGGGGCAGCTGAAGGAACCTGCCACCCTGGCTCAGGTATACCCCCCTGTTTTAATCTTTCTTTAAGAGATTAACTTTTGATTTGGATTTGTAGGATGATGGTGTTGACGATGAGGATCTAATACAGGTATAGGGTTACGAACAAAACCCCTTAGGTTTGTACTACCTAAATCGTAAATTGTTTGATTCTCCCTGGAGTACCAGTGGATATTCAGAGAATTAATCAGCTCATTAAAACTATAAACAACTCCAAATTTGTTTATTTTAATCCAAACTAATCAGAAGATTACACTCATACTCTTGCATCTCCTATGGTAACATGAAGGTAGATTAAAACCCAAATCTTTTATATCAGAATTCACACAATATATATGCAAATGAAATAAAAAGAAATATATGGATCTAATGTAAGCTTATGAAACAGGATGGTGTTAATGAAGGTGAAGATCCAAGAGCTGCAGCCATCTCGATTTAATTTAGGTATGAATATGCATAAATTTTTCTTCAAATTCTTGAAAACTCTCTGATTTTTTCATATACAGTTTGATTGGGAATGAGTTTGTGAGTTTTTTTTTTTTTTTTTTTTTTTTTGTGCGATTGTTAAGGAACGAACTTGACATGGAAACAAAAAGAAGTCAATCTTTGTATCACTTACTGATTTACCCTTTGCTCATAATGTTTTTTGGTTTTATTATAGTTCACCCGAGTGCTATGCGGTACACATCAGATGATGAAATGAAATTTTTCAATCCAACTACAATTTTGAAGGAGGTGCAATCAAAACCACCAGTCTCTGATTCCTTCCCAAATTATTTTCCTGCAAAGAGAAATCTTGCTGCTAGGGTCTGCTTTCTATCTTTTGTTTTATGACTTTATCCTACACTTATCAGAAAGATCACTAATGTTTGTTTGACAATAATACCTATATAATCAAACTAAACCCATATATAAATAACATAATTTCCTAATTTGGTTATGTGATTCTATGATTCTATTGATTTTCTTTGTGATGTTTCTGTCGATTAACATGACATATGTTTGTTTGTTTGTTACTGCAGTTCAGGTAAACCCAATAACAATAGATATAAATCAAAGGCCAATATCATCATAGTTCCACAACTATAGCTGCATTATGAGATTACTTTCGGGTTTGAATGATAGATTCAGTTTACATATTTTACTGGCCTTCTATTTTTTTTATTCTCTTTTTTTTCATTTGTATGATTCATTTGTGGGCAAAGAATGATATATTCAGTTGACATCTCTTAGATTACAGGAAATATGTATGTTTTATCGCCTAATTTTATGGAAGGTTGACATGTATCAAGTTATTTGCTTGCAAAACTGGCTTTGGATGGCTTTAATTTTGGAATTACCTTGCTCAAGAAGAAGTAATATCTTCTCTTACATATAGGTGTGCGGGAGAAGGCTGAAGTATAAAAACATTTCCGATTTTACCCTTGGGTTTGGAGCGACTTCAAGTGTTGCACAATTTTCTTTTCACATGCTAGAATTTTGGGACTATAGTTATACATAGATCGTGCTTTGTTTCTTAAACTTCAAAGATGCAGTGCAGGAATTGTTTTATATATTTTTTTAGCATTATACATGCCAAGAAATCTCAAAAACAACAGTTAAGAGTTTGTTAACACATGCTGACCATGAACACAATTAGAAATATTTGAATTTAGAACATTCAAATTGAATGTGTGGCTGGTAGCATTCTATTTTCATAGATAAATACTTTTTTTGTTCAAATATGACATCCTACTATTCTAACCCCGCAAAGCGGGGATTCTTCACTAGTTTATTTTAAAGTTGATTAATATTATGTTATATATATTTTTAAATATTCTGCTTCTTGAAAACCGAATTGTAAAAAACCGATCCAACCGAATTGTAATTTGATTGGTTCGGATCGGATTTGAATTTAGTTTGGAGTATTCGAATTCACGTTTTGAAAACCAAAATTAATTTGGATTTACCTGATTGGATCAAACCGATCCATCAAAACGAACACCCTACGTATGACAAAAAAAAAAATTGATTTGACAAAAAAAAATTGATTTGTCAATGTCTCCTGGAAGAATTGCATCCCATAGTATCTTGAATATCCTTTACCATGTAAATGTTAAATAAATCACCTTTCTCTTTACCATGTATTATAATAAAAACCTCAAAACAAAAATATTGAATTTCTTCCAATTTTCTAGTCCACTCAAACAAACTAAAGTTGGCATTCGATTAAATAGCTTGATCATATATATGTACATCGTTGTACAATTAACTATTTAACCATTAATCAACGCTCCTTATTTCTTTGCAAACCAAACAAATCTTGTGGAAATCAATACAAACAATCATAACTATACCAATTTGTAGCAAAAAAAAAAATGAAAGAAAAATCTAAATTTCTAAACATTGCAAAATATAGCAAACTACCTAATGCCGATTTCAAGATCATTCAACCCCAAATCAGGATTATTATCCAATTCTTCAATTTCTTCACAAAGCACGTTTGTTTCAACAATCGTAGGTCTAGACTCCTCTAAAGCCCGAAAAAATGCATAAGGTCCCCAACCTTCATAACCATTCACGATTTCATTTTGTTACAAATTTATGAGACTTTGAAATAATTTGGAACATATAAAAAGTTATAAAAGAAAAAAAAACACATTTAACGATACCTTCGGCATGATACGGTGGTGCGAAAAATTGCAAGTAGCAAAATGTGGCCACTGTCATACCTGAAACAAGTAAATGACTATTTTACCCTTATGTTTTTGGATATGACGTTGAATAACGTTTGGTCAAGAGGTGTGAATTTACCTATAAGACCTCCGGCAAATACGTCTTGCCAATGATGCCAATAATCATCCACACGAGAAATCCCAACAAGTGATGCAACAAGTAAAGGCAAAAAAACCACACATAGTTTTGCAATGTGCCCTTTTCTATCAAACACTCTTACTTTTCCACATAAATATAGCGACAAAAATCCAAGACCCGAGAAAGACCCTGTAATAAAATTATAATTTATTAGGATTTTATTGACTAGAATTAAAACATACGGATTTTATTTTTACATAAATAGAGGGACATTTGGTGCTCTCACATGAAGTATGTCCACTTGGGAAACTCTTGTGGCCTTCTCTTACAACTTTGCTATCGCCATGACATATTACGTTTCCTAATTGATCATAAAACTGAAAATAATCATTGTATTTTAGTAACCGAAATTTAAATATTTTTCTTTTTTAAAAAAAAAACGTACATCTTTTCCATCTGGAAAACATCGCCAGAAAAAGTCGGGGCGAGGTCGCCCAACCGCGTCTTTTATAGCATCCGTTATAACACCGGTTATCAATACTGAGAATAAAATCCCTGTGTATACAGTATACAAGATTTAATCTGGTAAGCTATATATGAGTGTTACTTTTTTTACTTAAAGTAGATAGAATGTTTCAATTGACAAAGAAAGGAAAATAGGGTTTTCCCATTTATGTCATCATTTTCTCAAATATCTTTTAGACATCATTTTTAAAAATAAAAAATAATAATGATAATAGACTTTAGTCACCTAATGTGGCATGATGAAGATCGTAGACATCTCTTCTACGGAAATAGAAAGCCAAAAAGATAGCCAATGGAAACAAGATTGCATATACCTAATCAACAATAACGAAATAAGATTATAATTTTGAAAACTTGGTTTTACACCGTCTCCTGGAAGTATCTGTAAATGTAAATCAGGTACACAGTGGCCCACTAGCTGGCTGACATAACAGCCTAGAGCCCCAGAAGAATCTCAATTCACATTGGAACTGAAACTTCCACACTCTTTAGAATCAAACCTCACAATAATCATTTGTAAATGCACATCCAAACACCGATTTAAACAATAAAAAGATTACTTACGGGAACTGACCAAATTGGAACAGTGTTATCCTGCAACGGGTACTTAAGATCTGTCATCATATCTTTTCCAACATAACGATAAAACGGATGGATACAATTTAAAACAATCATTAGAATTGCAAGTAGTAGAAGAATCAACCAATCATGCATGTGAGTTTTTGCAACCATAAATCCATGAGATCTCATGGTATGAGTTCCAAGCTGTCCATTTCTCATTCTACTCTATAAAATAGGCCCAAAAAGAAGTTAGGAATAAAATCAAGAGAATGTATTATATAATAGTTTTGGTAAGTGGTACCTCAGCCTTCTTTTCATTTACTAAAGGAGAATAAAGATGATAAAACGGATCTTTATCGGTTGAAATGTCTTGCTTCTTGCTTGATGCATTCTATAGAACTTAAAAAAATCAGTCTTGAAGTGGGAAATGATATAGTTTGAATGCCATTATTGAATTGAATTTGGAAAAATTGGCTATAAATAGATAACAATATATATTGAATTGAATGTTTGAGCATCAATTTGGGAATATGAGTATCAGAATATGACTAATTATGGAATAACAATTATCACATTTCCACTTAACTAGTGAGATATGATTCTTACTGGAGCAACAGAAGGAAGTAACCACATGATTCAGTAGTTCAGAGGGAAAATTTTATTGTCTTTAACTTCATAAAGATCAAAATTTTCAAGCATTAAAGCTAAGTGAACTTATACAAGCTTGAAGATGGAGCTTAGATTTTGAACTATTTCTACTTGATTCCACTACTGTAATGTGTAATTTTCAGCTCGTAAAGTACGCATATGTAAGCTAAGGATTCAGACTTATAATCAATGTAAGTAAGTAATTACAACTAAAATCACAAGATTATGAAGACCCTTAAGTCTAATTGTACTCCAGAAGGAGAAATCAGGTAAGAAATCCATTTCTTCACACGTAGACAAGAAGAGAAAAAACCCTTCACAAACTCACCTGAGAGGTTTCTGCGGAATTCCTAGAATTGAAAAGGGATCTCAAATTCCACGAAGAAAATTGCCAATTACCCATCAGACACAAATCGAAGAATTATGCAAACAATGCATATATGAATGGCATTGAATCAAATAAATTGTTAAAATTATGCAATAATGAGTGGGTATCGGGAAGAAGAGGGATATCGAGACTCGAGAGAGAGGTTTTTGGAGCAACAAAAGAAATGATTGATGAACAATTGTTAATGGTAGTGAATTAGTAAAACTACAAAAGGGTATGGTCTGCATCAGTTGACCTAGAAGTCATTATTACTAAATTCCGGAGATTTAGATATTGATGATGAGGAAGCAGGGGGGGCAAACCCATGTCGACGTGATGCCAGCTTCACGATGTGTCACGTTGAGATGAAAGAAGTGGCGAGTACGTGTTCCTTTTTGAACAAATTCTGTTGCATTGATGGAAATGGATATTTTGGAGATCGAGCGAAATTGATATTTTGCTTTCTAGTATTAAAATAGGGGTGATCCAAGGAAGTCATTATTCTAAATTTATATATTATCAAGGGGGAAAGGGTGAATATGAGAAAATCATATAATGTTTTAAAATCCAACCGGTTGGACTAAAAACCGGTGAATTGGACGGTCCAATTAGCATCGGTTTTATATCTGTTTATGGATTGGAAAGAATCGGATTGTTTTACAAAAAACACGGTTGTTTATGGATTGGAAAGAATCAGACTGTTTTACAAAAAAACTCGGCCGAACCGATGTATTTGAAGTTGGACTTCAATGTTTGGGCTACAAAATGTGGACTATATACTTAATAGAGATGCACAAAACCCGAATCCAATCTGATCCGGTTTTGCTTGCGTCATCAAAAATCCGATCCGGTTCCAACCAAAATCCGAATCCGACTCTAATCCGATTTGAAACCGGTTTACACCGATTTTAATGGGTTTTAAGCGGATTTGGGGCGGATTTGGATCCGGTTTTTAGCGAATCCGGTTTACGATCCGGTATCACATCCGATTTGGAATATAGGATTACGATCTAACTGAAAATCCAGTTTTAAATCCGATCTGATCCGGTTTGGTCAAAACCGGTTTTGACCCAATCCGGTTTCGGATTGGATCCAGTTTTAAATAGTGAAATCGGTTTTTGTGTGCATCTCTAGTACTTAATACGTCTAAAGTGAGTCCACCCTATTTGAAGCAAAATAGAGATCCAAAAGTACTCCATCAAGTGTGTTTCTTCTCCTACGCCCGATGCTCGACAATTGATCCGGTTCACCAACAAGTTGGGGTTAGCCCACTTGGCTAACAAAGTGTTTCTAACAAGGAAGTTGCAGGTTCAATCCCAGGTTTATATTAACTTGTCATTCTAAAAAAAATGAATTGGTTGACCAAGCGGTCGAACCGGTTAAACCGGGAACCGGTCACTAGACCGGTTCAACTAAAAATCCAGTTTTTAAAACATTGATATCACACGATAAAATATGGTGGAATGTGTTGGAAATTTTAGTATAAATATTTATATATTTTACTAATTTTGGACATATATAAATACATACATATATTGTAAATATAATTAACTCTAAGTGGGTTAGTGTTCTCCGTGAGAGCTTTGAAACGATATATCGTATGTCCAAAATTGAGTATATGTGAATAAGATATCAATACTCAAAGATTGGTATTTGAGAATAAAAGTTAGCAAGTAAGGTGGTGTGGAAATGAGTCTCACATTGGTAGAAAGACCATATTCAAGTAAGTTTATAAGCTTGAATGTATGATAGGTTTACAAGCTTATGTATATGATTTTACTCTAACTCCTACCCATGCGTAGGAGGTGCGAATCTTGGATTTCCTAGGCCAAATTCATCAAACTTGTGTGTGGGCGTGACCTGCGGACACGAATGCAGCTCCTAAACCCAGAGCTTACGTTGAGTATTGTTTATTGGGAAGCAGTTCTTCGTATTTTGAGATATCTAAATCTACTAAGGTTACAAGCTTAGTGAGTTTCCCAAAACACCACATACCATAACCATAGTGAGTTCCCAAGTGAAATGTTATGGGCCAAATCATAGACTTACAGTCACTCATGCAACAACCTATTTCAACTAACGGGCATATTTCATCACAAGTGAAGGTTACACGAAAAATTTGTAGTCTTACACCACTCCTGCAATTGCCATGGGCTCCCCCATAGTCTTTCATACAATTTTCTAGGGCTAAATCATGGTCTTCCATGCAAGTATCACAAAGACAACTAACATCATACATAGTATAATGAGAAGACTCGCCTCACAAACGTAGTCGACAACTAACGAGCTCTCACAGTCGGAAAGCGAGTGCTACACACCTCCTACTGAATCATATAAGGTAAATCCTTAGTCTACCTTCATTAAAGGCACTACACCATGTCAAAATTTTGGTGAAATAGTCGTGAAACCCTTCTTCGCCACGTCGTGGCACCCTCCTTGCCATGTCATGGTTACTGCAATTTGGACCACTTAATGGATTAGTCCTTAATCCGCTAAGCCATTTGCTCATACTTTCCAGTAAGCTTTCTGGGACCCTAATGGTTCATAAAAAACAAAACTTTATGGATATGCATGACCCATGCATGTCCTTCACCAAGCATGTCGAAATATGGGGAAAATGACCTAAACCACATGCATACTCTAAAAACTCAACCATCTTCTAGATCCATAAGGTATTATGCTAAAGGGACCTTGGTGAATCATAAAGTTGCAAACTTTATCTCATAGAACCATTACACCCATAACTATGAACCTAAAAATGCAAACCAAACCAAGATCTACTAAGAAGGAACCAAAAAGATCAAGTCTTGAAGTATTACAAATGATCTAAAGAGTGATTCCAAAGATGGAGATGAGTTTTTTGCTTGATCCTTGCACCAAAACCTTCTTATTCTTCCTTCAAAATGCACCAATGACACCAAAATGAGCCAAGAAATTCAAAGGGAGGCTAGGGTTAATGATGTGTGCATAATTAACTACATGTCTAATGCATATTTTTAATACTTTTAGCTACAATTATGCTTAATATGGAACATTAGATACTTATTATGTTTAAATTATGTTTTATAGCGGCGAAGACTTGCTCGGGACAAAACGGAAGGGTATGAGGAGTTGGAAGCAGGAAACGGGAGCTAAAACAATATAAAGAAAGCAAAGGTATGACGACCACGTCGTGGTCACATAACCGTGACGTGGTAATTGGAAGAATCATGACCCATTTGCTGACATGGCAGATACAGGATTAACACGAATACCATGTCGTGGTGGCGGTCAACCACGAATACCACCCAGGTAAAGCGAACGTGGTTGCGGATACTCTGAGCCGCAAGTCAGCTGGATCTTCTACCCCAGTGACATGTATGAGGATATCCGTGGATTCTCCACTTGTGAGCTTGATCAGGGAAGCTCAGGAAGAGGGTATGCGTCAGGAGAACTGGAAGCTTGAGAGGATTAGGGGTGAGAACACCCGGTTTGTGCAGGATAGCCGAGGATTATTGACCCGTTGCGGTCGGGTCTGGTTCCTGTAACTCCAGCAAGGTATCACATCGTTGGGCAAGTGCGGGAAGGGTCACTTTGGGGTTTGCAGATCGGGTAGCGTGTGCTACAAATGCGGCCAGGAAGGGCACTTTTGCGAGGGATTGTTGCCAGCAAGCCCTGGTTCAGGATATGAGGATCTGCTACCACTGTCATCAGGTTGGTCACGTGAAGACTGTCACAACTAGCATTTTAGGGCTAGGAATTTCTATCCATGTACAAATAGTTTCTTTGTGTAACCAAGTGACACTACATATAGTATAAATTAACTTTAGTGCTATACAAGTTTATACGTCCAAAATTGTGGTTCACGTCGAAACTTCCTCTTGTAAGCCCAAAACCTAATCCAATAAGCTATGTCCACTCAACTTTGGGTCTTAACCCTGACTTCTCGGTTCAAATCTCTTAATGGACCAAGACCTTCTTATTGGGCCCTTCTTAGGCTAAAAGCCCTAGTTAACCTTTATATGGACCGAGAACCCATATTTGGGCCGAAAATTCTTATTTGATGTAGTTTTGGGCCGTAAGACCCTTATTGGGCTTTATTGGGTCGTGAATAATTATTTCAAAGCTTAATGGGCCGAATGCCTCTATTAGGAAATATTTTGGGTCGAAAAGTCTTCTATTTAGTCTCATTGGGCCAAAGACCATTCTTTGGGCCCTAATGGGCCAAAGATCTCTATTGGGCTCTCTCACTTAAACCAAAAATCCTTATTGGGCCTAATACATTTCTTTTGGCCTACTATTGGACCGAAACTATTCTTGGGCCCAAACCGAGCCCAATAACCTTGTGCCAACCGAAAACACTAATGGGCCTAGGGGTTCTCGGTTACCCTTCAAAAACCAAGCCCAAATTTCTTTCTTTCTTCCCCCATAACCAATCGGATTTTTATAATAAAAAAAACAAATGGAAGAGATTGAAATTTGTGTGCCGCCTCAAATTTACATAACATACATCTATGTTATTATCTAGCTGTAACTAGGAATGAAAATGTTGTCCAACATACATCTATGTTATTATCTAGCGTGTAACTAGGAATGAAAATGTTGTCCAACATACATCAAGGAGGGATCTCCCATCTCTTCTCCCCTTCATCGGCCGCAACCATCCCCCATCCCCACCATTTACATTTCAACATTTCCTCTTACTCCTCATTTCTCCTCTAATCTCCAAAATTCTCTCATTCTTTCCTCCAAATTTTCGTGAGTGTGCTAGTGTGATCAAGAGTTCCTCTTCAAGGATCATTAACTTGGTAAGTTTATATCACACTCAAGTTGTTTTATTCCATCTTATACTAAGAACATTCCTCAAACCACTCTATTTTCGTGTATATGTTCTCTAGAGCCCCAAAACTTTACAAATCTCTTCAAGGAAGCAAGCTAAGGCCGAAAACCTTCACCATCTTCCTCTTCAAAACCGAAAAAGCCCCAAGGTGAGCTTCATACCCCTACTTTTCGAGTTTTTCTTTCTTTTGGGGAGGATACAAGCCAAAGTCTTGTGTAAATCTTTGTATAATTGATTGCTTGTGCTTGTGTTATATGATATGTGTGTGAAATGTTGCGATTTCATGTTAAAGGTCCATAAACTCGAGATTTTTGTACAAGTCTCAAGTTGATGGAGCTTAGTATTCATTATATGTTTTCATTATCTAGGTGTTTGTCAAAAATGGAAATAGGTTACTTGGTGTAAATGGTTTTTCTTGGTTTGTGTTAAAGATAACCAAAAATATGTCCAAGAACATACTAAAACAAAGTTTTGGCAAGAAAACTTGCAAAAATGAGAAAATATGTAAACCCCACTCAAAATGGGCTATTTTCGGCCATAAAGACAAACACGGGCCATTTTTTTAACATTTTAGTAAAAATGGGCCGAAAATGGGCTTTTTAGTAAATATGGGCCATTTTTGAACACTTTTGTAAAAATGGGCCTTAAA